TCAGAGACACCTGGACAGGTCTCCAGTTCATCAGAGACACCTGGACAGGTCTCCAGTAGATTTGGTAGATTTGGATACTGATATGCCTACCTCCTGGAGAGTTCACTTGGTTGGCTGTTGTGAAGGAGTTTTTCCACACCATGGAAATTATTCTGCAATCATCCACAACTGTTGTCGTCTGTGGGTGTCCAGGTCTTTTTGCATTGATGAGTTCACCAGTGCTTTTTATATTTCTCAGGATGTACCAAACTGTAGTTTTTGCCACTCCTAATATTGTAGCAATTTACCAGATGTTTTTTTATCTGTTTTCACAGCTTAGGGATGGTTTGTTTCACAAGCCTGTACAACGAAACTAAGAATGTTCCTGAAGTATTTGTCTGTCTTTGTCTTTGGTCAGGCCATCAAGTTGGAGTATGCTCGTCTTCTGAGATTTGCCCAAGAAGACACGCCACCTGAGACTGACTACCGATTGCAACATATTATCATCTATTTCATCCAAAATGAGGCCCCCAAAAAGATTCTGGAGAGAATGCTCCTCACACAGTTTGCTGACAGAAACTTGGCCTTTGATGAAAGGTAGTTTATTACTTTTCACTCCACTAAAATCTTCCATTCCAAACATTTTTTAATGGTCACTGCATTAAATTCTTTTTGTGTGATTGTGCTATGGTTCATCCTTAACAAAGGACACAACATGAGTCACTCTTAGTCCTAGGCTAATTTCTGTACTTTCTTATTTTTTGCTGATCGTATAAAATCGTAAATTCAGAGACCAGAAGTGTAGACAGGAATTTAAGGAGATCCAACGTAAGGCAAAGAGGGAGATTATGCAACTAACAATAAGATGTATGTGCCTCTCAAAAGACATATGCAATGTCCATTACTATGTTATTAAAGTGTCTTGAGGACATAAAGGCCTGTGTCACATATAAATTTCAAAAATCATGCCCAAACGTGATAAATGGCCTGGTTCTTTGAAGGATGTAATGGAACAATTTGACTTCTCTGACGTTTTTTTTTTTTCTTTGATTCTCACATCTGTATATTTTCTGATGTAACAGCAGTAGGTAGTAGTACTTAGTAGTGTTCATTAGCAGTGGCAGTAGGTTGAAAATTTTACAAAAGTAAAAATATGCCATATTCCAAAACCAGTAAATTCAAAATATGCCGTACTTCAAAACCATTAAACTGCCCATTAAAACCTCCATAAGTTTAATATAAAAATATTATCCCTCACAACTAAATTACATTTTATTTGCATTTAAGTTCATTGATAATACTGATTCGGTAGAAAAAAGTTTTAATTCAGTTCAATTCAATTCAATTCAGTTTATTTATATAGCACCAAGTCGCAACAACTGTTGTCTCAGGGCACTGTAAGGATTCTTCCAGTTAACATGTGAGCTGAGTAGACGTGAGAACGAACCTCTTCCAGCTCTTCTAGGAGAATTCTAAGGCAGTCCCAGGCTAGTCGAGAGACATGGTCTCTCCAGCATGTCCTAGGTCTTCCCTGGGGTCTCCTCCCAGTCTGACATGCCTGAAGCATCTCCCTAGGGAGGCGTCCTGGAGGCATTTTTACCAGATGACCGAACCACCTCAACTGGATGTGAAGGAAGGCTCTACTCTGCGTCTCTCATGGATAATTGAACTTTTCACCCTACCTCTTAGGGAGAGCCTAGCTACCCTGCAAAGAATACTCATATCAACCGCCTGTATCCCCAATCTTGTTCTTTCGGTCACTAAACAAATTTCATGGCCATAGGTGAGGGTATGAACGTAGACTGAATTACAGCTCAGCTCCTTTTTCATCACAACAGACAGCTACAATGTCCACAGTATTGCAGAAGCTGAACTGATTCATCTGTTAGTCTTACCCCATTGTTACCTCACTTGTAATCAAAACTCTAAGATACTTGAACTCTTTCTATTTGAGGCAGAACCTCACACCCAGTGAAGAGCAATCCACCCTTTTCCAACTGAGGATCAGCACCTCCTAATCTGGCAGGACTCAGATTTGGAGGTGCTGATCCTCATCCCAGGCACTTCATACTCTACAGTGAACTGCTCCAATGAGAGCTGAAGATCACGACATGATGACTACAACAGGACCACATCATCTGCAAATAGCAGAAATGAAATTTTGAGGTTACCTAAACCAAACTTCCTCTGTCCCTTAAAAGGTATAAATAGGATTGGTGACAATGGGCAGATTGGCAGAGTCCAACTCCCACCCTGAAGGGATCCAACTTACTGCCTGCAATGCAATCCAAACTCTTGCACTGCTTTTATAAGGACAGAATGGCCAGTAACAATTGACCCACAATCCCATATTAATAGAACACCCCCCACAGTGTTTCTCGAGAAACAGATCCAGGCAGGCGACATGATGTGAAAAAAAGTGGGGGGGGAGTATTCCTGCACCTTAGTAATGATAAACTAATGACATTAGCGTGTGACTGGGCCGCTCCTCGAACAACAACAAACACGTTTGTCTGTAATGGCTGCCGTCTACCGGTGTTCTGAAAAAGTTTATATCCCTGAAAAAAAGTTTCCCCACCAGAGGGGGCGCTC